TCGCGTCTCCTGGCGGCGCACAGGGGAGAGGGTACCGAACTCCACCATTATGTAACGGTGGTCAGACAGAGTCTCGGTGCCCTCCTCCACCCTCCACCCTGTGATAAGGCGCGCAGCCGAGGGGGTAGCCCACGTGAGATCCACGATGGACTCCCCCTGCGTCCGCACGCAGGTGGAGGTCCGGCCCTCGTTGACTAGGACCAGACCGTGCGTCGCCGCCCACTCATTCAGAGCCCTACCCCTCTCTTTGTCGCGCCGGGAACCCCAACTCGTGTGCCACGCGTTGAAGTCCCCGGCAACGAGGACCGGCCTTGGACTCAGACGCAGGACCGTCCGTCCTACGTCCAATAGCCAGTCCCTGAAAGGGGCAGAGCGTTTGGTTGGCCTCAGATAGACCCCCACGACCGCGATGGGCCCCCACTGCACGGCTACATGCCGCTTCCCGCTCTCGATGGGGGTCGTGCCGGGCCCTCCCGGCACCGACCGCCATCGTATCGCGACCGAGTCCCCCGCCTGCCCGTTATCAACAGCCCAAAATGGGCTGTCTCTCGGGGGGCGGTGGGGCTCGGTCACGATCGCCAACGTGTAACCACTCTCCACCACGCTTTGCTGGAGCAAGTCTTGCGCCTGTGGAGAGTGGTTCACATTGGCCTGTATCAGGCCAAATCCGCCCAAGTTCGGACGGGGGGGAGAGCGAGGCATTACTCAGCCTTATTATCCCCCCGTCCGATAGGGTCTCTACCTCCATGGCCTCTGGAGGTGAGGCCCCCTTCCTTGGCGCCCCGCTAGGTTGGCGCTGCAGCTGGGGCTCCTGTGCTGAGCCACCCGCTTCCTCCCCCCTCTCCTCCGTCGGCCGCGCTCCGGCCGGGGGGGGGAGCATCGGTGGCAGGCGCCTGCTCCATGGCGCGCTGCCCCGGTGGCCTCCCTTGCACGTTCCGCTGGGCGCATGACTTGGCGCCCAGCACGTGCGTCGCCGGCCTGCCCTTGTCGGCACAAAGCGGGCACTTCGGGGCAGACCGGCAGTCGCAGGAGGTGTGACCGGCTTCACCACACCGGTAACACCTCCCGCTCCTATCGACCTCGCTGGGGCATGTCGCCCTCACGTGTCCCCTCTCAAGGCATCTGTGGCACCGCATAGGGCGCGCCTCGAGAGGGTCCACGCGGGCCGCCCCCCAGCCGACCCGGATCCTCTTTTTCTGGGCCAGCTCCATCGCCGAGGCGAGGGGCAGGCGCAGCCAGAGGCTGTGGGCGCCCCCGGCGGCCGGCTGCAGTGCTCCGCACTGCACTCGGAGGCACCGCAGTTCCCGGCCTCCGCCACCCACCCCTTCACCTCTTCGACGCCCAAGGAGTCGTCGAGGTCGCGCAAGCGTACCTCGGCCATCCTCCTTGGGCGGTCGACCTTTGTGTCCTCCTCCCCGAGGAAGACCCGTGTGACGTACCCCGCGAGAAGGTCAGCCTTATCGGCATGACCCTCCCCGGATACCTCTATGATCTTGGCACCGGTGGCCGCGGATCTGACGTTGACCCGGTCCTCGATGCCAAGATCCTTCAGACTGACCTCCCGCCGCAGTCTGGCCATGGCCTCACTATAATCCCCATTGGGGCGCGTGAGGACCACGGCCGACGCGCGCGGGAGCCGTCTCTTGGGGGTCTTCCTCGACGGCCCGCCAGCCTGTCCCTTAGCTGGGGCAGGGGGGGCGGCCGCCTTGGGGACTCCTTTCGCGGGTTTCCCCGCCGCCTTACCTCTCCTCCTGACTACCGTCGCGAAGGTCTCAGCCCCCGCGGCGGGCTGGGAGGGTTTAGCGTCTCGCCTTTCGGGGACCCTTACCTCCTCCACTCTTGGCGTTTGCTGCGAGAGAGGGACCTTCTTCTTCCTCTTCTTCTTGGCCCCCTCCCCCGCAGCATTCGCGACCTTCCCTGGGGGGGTCTTTCCTCCCCCCTGATCCGGCCTTCTGGCCAGCCCCGGGAACCGGGCGGTCCCCCGCGGCGCCCCCTCCTCCCCTTCGAGGGTTGGAGGGGATCGCCGCGGGGCCGCTATCACGGGCCCCGCCGCCGCCGCCGGCCAGAGCCCGGATCAGTTCCTCCATCCCTTGGAGCTGCCGGCCAATCTCCTTACTTAATCCGTCGACAGCCTCCTTGATCTCCCCCCGCACCCACTCCCCCGTGACCTCCCCTGTCTTAGGCAGGGGTTTCCCCGTCTTCTGCGGGGCGTGGGGGGATGGTAGGGGGAGCTCTTTCCGGGGGTCAAGGGATCGGCCCGCCTCCTCGAGGCGGACCTCTCCCTCTTCCCCGCCCGCGCTTTCCCCGCCCCCGACTTTGGGACCCGGGAGGTGCCAGCCGCATTCGGCGTGACGACCTCCCAGGTCTTTTCCGGGGGCGGAGGATCCGCCACCTTCCCGGGAGGAGGAGGATCCATCGGCAGTCCGTCAGCGACCGCCTCCGGCATCTCCTCCTCCCGGACGTCCTCCCCCGAAGGGGTGGCGTGCCGTCCCGTCGGTGGGGGGCCGAGGGGGGGCGGCATCTTCTCCCGGTCCTCAGCCTCCTTCACCCGTAAGAGGTCGGCGACCAGAGCCTTGAGGGCCACGATTTCCTCCCTCATCCGCTCCGCCCTCTCACTCATCTCCCCGCTCACCCTCGTAGAGAGGGCGTCCACGGCGACCCTGGTGAACAGGGCCTTATCGCGCCAACCAGTGTCCCCTTGAGGTTCCTGCTGGTCCTCGCCGCCTCATCGATCTTGCTGCTATGGTCCAGGACCATTGCAACAAGATCGCGGGTGGGGAGCTGGGGGACCTGTTCCTCCAGCTCCCTTATCTTTCTCCTTCTCTCTATGCCCTCGTACCGACGAGGATCATAGTCGCCCTGCATGATCCTCTCGATATTGCGAAGGCCCTCCCTAGACCTTTTCAGGTCTTGGGCGACCTTCTTGCGGGCATCCATTACCACGCCCTTTCTGGTCGTGACGGGCCTGCCCCTCCCGTCCTTCCTTTCCGGGAGGGGGTTCTCCTCCTCCTCGTCGCTGGAGCAGCCTTGGGTGTGCGCGAGCATCGAGATTCAAAGAAAGTGCAGGATCTGGTCTCTGCGGTGTGGATCTGGGGCCATCGGTTTCCAATCACCGAACGACGGCACCGAGCAACACACCGGGACGTGCCTTCATTCCTAACAACGTTCGGGCTTCCTCCTCGTCAAGATAAGTAATAACATTGGCTCGGGTGTTGCCCCACATCGAAAGGCACTGTCGGATCGGGGACCGTCTCAACCTAGCACGGATGGACCTAAGTCCGCGTCCGCTGGTTGGATCCGACAGATATCTCGAGGCGCATCCTTCAGTATCCCCTCTCAGAGCCTTTTCGGACTTTAGTGAATCTAATAAAGTTCGCGTTTGACTGCGAGCTCGAAGAGCGAGTGAGTGTGAATCGGCGCGCAGTGCGTCGGTCTCTATCTAGTTCGCGTATTGTATATCCACGCTATGTGCGTCTGTCGCTTTCTAGTTCGCGTACTGTATATCCTATCTAAGTGCGTCTGTTTCTATCTAGCTCGCTTATTGTATATCCTCGCTCAGTGTATTTATCTCTCTCTCTAATTCGCGTATATCCGCGCGACGTGTATCTGTCTCTCTCTAGTTCGCGTCGCGTATATCCTCGCGAAGTGCTTCTGTCTCTCTCTAGTGTGCGTCGCGCATATTCTCGCACCGTGTGCTTTGTCTCTGTCTAGTTCGCGTAGCGTGAACCTGCGCGAAGTGCGTCGTGCTCTATCTCGTTCTCGTAGCGTACGAGGGTGGTCCGATAAATACTTAGCCTACAAAAGAAAAACGAAAATTTTGGAAAAGTGACGATTTATTTTTCAACATAGTCTCCTTGTAGCTCGATACACTTGACCCAGCGATGCTCCAACTTCTTTAACCCGTCTGAAAAATACGTTTTGTCGAGGTCTGCAAAGTAGGCCTCCGTGGCGGCGATGACCTCCTCATTCGACTTAAATTTCTGCCCGGCGAGTGACTTTTTCAAGTTTAGAAACAAAAAGAAGTCGCACGGGGCCAAATCTGGAGAATACGGTGGGTGGGGCAGCAGTTCGTAGCGCAATTCGACCAATTTGGCCGTGGCGACGGCGGAGGTGTGAGCCGGCGCGTTGTCATGGTGGAAGAGCACTTTTTTCTTCGCCAAATGGGGCCGTTTTTTCTGCAATTCGGCGTCGAATCGGCCCAATAATTCGGCATAGTAAAGCCCTGTGATCGTTTTGCCCTTCTCCAGGTAGTCGATGTAGATCACACCTTGTGAATCCCAGAAAACGGTGGCCATCACCTTTCCGGCTGATAGGACAGTCTTCGCCTTCTTCGGAGCACGTTCGCCGGGTGAAGTCCACTGTTTCGACTGTTCCTTGGTCTCTGGTGTGTACCAGTGGATCCATGTTTCGTCGACGGTCACGAAACGACGCAGAAACTCCTTCGAATTGCGCTTAAACAGCGTCAAACACTGCTGTGAAGTGGTCTCACGGTTGCGCTTGTTGTCCGGGGTGAGCAAACGCGGCACCCATCGCGCCGACAGCTTTCTCATGCCCAAAATTTCATGCAGGATATGACCCACGCAGTCTTTTGAGATGCCTACGGTCTCAGCTATCTCGCGTACCTTCAATCGGCGGTCTGCCAATATGAGATCGTGGATTTTTGTCACGTTATCCTCCGTGGTAGTCGTTTGCGGGGCACCTGGGCGTGGCTCATCAAAAACCGACGTGCGACCACGTTGAAACTCGTTAAACCAATTTTTGACGGTCACCATCGAAGAAGAGTCACCGTACACAGCATCCAAGCGCTCTTTGATTTCGCTGCGCGATTTCCCTTCCAAAAACAAGAATCGAATCACCGACCGATATTGCTCTTTTTCCATTTTTCTAAACTCCGCGAACACGCCCGCTCCCACAGGCAGTCAAAACGAAACTGCGAGTCCGATTCGGCTGAAATTTGGACAGTAGCCGTCTACGAGAATGTTCTACACGATAGTATATTTCTTTTGCGATTGCGGCACCATTGGGCGGTGAGGCTAAGTACTTGTCGGACCACCCTCGTATCTACTTTTAAAGTGCGTCTGTCTCTGTCTAGTTCGCGTAGCGTTTACCCGCGCTCAGTATATCTTGCTCTCTCTAATTCGCGTATTGTATATCCGCACGAAGTGCGTCTGTTTCTTTCTAGTTCGCGGACGTTATACCTGCGTTACTTGCGTCTGTCTCTATCTAGTTCTCATAGCTTATGTACTTTTACAGTGCGTCTGTCTCTATCTAGCTCGCGCAACGTATATCCGCACGAAGTGCGTCTGTCTCTCTCAAGTTCGCGTACGTCATATCATCTCGAAGTGCGCTTGTCTCTCTCGTACATTGTATTCGCGCTAAGTGCCTCTTTCTCTTTCTTTATCCCTACAATCGCGCTAACGCTCAATGCGTCCCTCGGTCGTACTATCTTACATACGTAGCGCAACTGTATAAATTGTTCATTGTTATTCTCAGCTATCTACCGTTTAGGTTAATGCTATATTTTCACAAATCTACCGTTTAGGTTAATGTATATTCTCACATATCAACCGTTTGGGTTAAGATCATATTCTCATTGATTTCGCGCCATCGAGTCTCTGCGTTGTCAATGGTAATTTTAATCACCATAATTTGCGTTTACTTGCTCGATCGACTAACTGATCTCGAGCATTGCTATTGACTTTATTTTCAGGTTAATTCGTGAGCATACGCTCTTTCTACGGTTGTAATTTGATTTGCGTGCATTCTATGGTCCTTCGATGTCATTTAATAAGGATGCTGCGATTGCGGCTACACTATAAGAATTTAGACTGAATCTGTGTTTAACATTAAATATTGTTTCTGATAAGATTTTATGTGTCTCTTGTCTGTCCTCTCGCCGCTCAATATTAAGGCGGACGAAAGTCCCACTCACTGAGTTATCTATTTACTAAACACGCGATGAAATGTCAAAATACAAGACCGGCAATTAAATCTAGTATGTTTTGATGACTTTTGGCAAAATATATGTTTTATATAGTCATAGTCTTGCCATTTCTTCAGAATAACATGTGAATTATGCACCGATTAAAAGTGAGACAATGAATATATGCTCATTACAAGATCATCAGCACGATAATGTATCCAAGCGTCCTAACCTAGGAGCCTTTGAAAAGTTATATTTGCTCATTTTGAATTAGCCTTAGAGGTGCAAATAAACGATTCAATTTGTAATTTAATAACAATACATCCATATAAAACAAAAATTTTATTAAAAATTTAGAAATGTAATAGTTCCTCTGGACGGTCCTGCTTTTTATCATTACATCGCCGAAATCGGATCTCGTATATGACGTTACATCGTTGATGACAAATTTTTTATTTTTTGTAGGTGTATTGTTATATTACAAATTAATTTATTATATTACAAATTGAAGAGTTTATTATCACCTTAAATGCTAATCAAGGATGAGCAAAGACAACATCTTTAAGGATCTCGTAAGCTAGGAAGTTGGACGACACATGAACATAATAGCAAGGTATAAATGCTTGCTACGTGCTTGCTATTATATTTATGTGTTGTCCAACTTCCTAGCTTACGAGATCCTTAAAGATGTTGTCTTTGCTCATTCTTAATTAGCATTTAAGGTAATAATAAACTTTTCAATTTGTAATATAATAAATCAATTTGTAATATAACAATACACTTGCAAAAAATGAAAAATTTGTCATCAACGACGTAACGTCATATACGAGATCCGATTTCGGCGATGTAATGATAAAAAGCAGGTCCGGCCAGAGGAACTATTACATTTCTAAATTTTTAATAAAATTTTTGTTTTATATGGGTATATTGTTATTAAATTACAAACTGAATCCTTTATTGGAACCTCTAAGGCTAATTCAAAATGAGCAAGTATAACTTTTCTAAGGCTCCTAGGTTAGGACGCTTGGATACATTATCGTGCTGATGATCTTGTAATGAGCATATATTCATTGTCTCACTTTTAATCGGTGCATAATCCACATGTTATTCTGAACAAATGGCAAGAATATTACTATATAAAGCATATATTTTGCCAAAAGTCATCAAAACATACTAGATTTCATTGCCGGTCCTGCTTTTTGACATTACATCGCGGAAATCGGATCTCGTATGTGACGTTACGTGATGACTTTAGAATTAAGGCTTATTTCCTGTGGCTACACTGGTGAACTAGTGCAATAAATTAGAGTAAGACAAGTATTTTTTCTGATTCTAGCTTACTGCACTAGTTCACCAGTGTAGAAACAGAAACCAAATCTTTCATTAATCGCTTACTTATTTATGACATATTATCCTCATATTGTCAAAGAAATAATATGTGCATCACAGAGTGAAACAAAACAATTGTTTGATTATTATTTTATTTAACGCGACAAAATTTAAACTGTATGCGTACATATCTTCTTTCTTTACAAAAACGTAAAGATATGATATTAATTAGAAAGCAAATAATTAATTTGGAAGTTTTCGTCTAAGATGTAGTGTCAGATACGAGGACCATTTCTACTATGTAATGACAAATAGCAGGACCGGCAGTTAATAATTTATTTTGTAACCACTTTTAACTAAATATATGC